ATCACAGCAAAATTTTTTTTATTGATCACATTTTGACCTAATTTATTTTGTGAGACATATTCAAATACCATTACATGTTTTTCCGCAGTGTGAATTTTAAGGGCTTTTACTACCCATATGTCACGTGGGTTAACCATTGCTAATTTAATCTGTTTCCTATTATTGGTATCTAGTTTGGCTCAACTACTTACCTATCATAAATAATATATGATGAACATCTTTGCATATGTTTTCTATTATTTCTGTAGGATAACTTTCTAAATAGGACATTTCCAGCTCTCAGGATAGACCATTTTAAAGACCATCTTGGCAAATTACCTTTCAGATAGTTCATAAAGATTTTTCTTTGTACAGCAATAGATGAGCGCGGCTGTAAAACCCCACGGTACACAGGAAATACAGTGAAAGGCTGGGAAAAATTAGCAGCTCACGGTGCTTTCATGTTAAATTAATAGGGTAGATGTCCACTTAAAATATTTATTAACAGAGCTTTAAAGGCCTGCTTTTCAAAGAAAAATTAAGAAATGTAGTACCCGCCCGGCCGGCGTGGCTCCGTCGGTTGAGCGCCATCCAGGCACCAGGAGGCCTCGGTCCATTCCGGGCGCGGCACGTGCCTGGACCCAGCAGGGGGCGGCCGGCCCATGTTTCTCTCTCATCCATGTTTCTGTCTCTGGCTTCCTCTCTCTGAAATCAATTAAAAAGCCATAATTTAAAAAAAACTAGTCTCTACAAAAATACAAGTTATTTTTATGGGAATAAAACTTCATGAGGAAATATCAAAAGGAGGGAATAAACCGAGCCCCGGGCCGTGCTGGGGAACCGTAAGTCTGTACCTAAGGGGGTGAGATTAGAACAGAGTTTATTTTTTTTAAAAAAAAGCTCTTGAGCCTCTGAATAGAATGTGATGAGATCCACACGTGGGTCTCCAAGGCCGAGGAAGCCCACGGGGAGCACAGCGCCCACGGGGAGCACAGTGCCCGGGGGCTGGAGGCCGGGGGCTCCCGCTGATGAAGGAAGGAAGGAGCGGGAGCGGGAGCGAGCTCGGACAGCTTCACGCCCTCGCCAAAGGCATCCTTTCCCCCTGTCGGCCCACCACAGGTTTCTCTGCCCCCTTCCCTTCTCCCCGTGGCATCTTCTGGTCCCTTGAGAGCGCTGGTTTCCCAGGCGGAGCGATGCCTTGCGCTGTGTGGAGGTAGCCCCCGGCTGAGCCTTCTCCGGGACGGTTGGTTCACTTCTCCCTCCGTCTCTCGGTCCTTCTCAGGGCTCCCCCTGCCCCTTTCCTGGAGTTCAGGGGACATCTGAGTTCCTCGCACGTGTTCCTTTCCAGTGAGCATTGGGAACGTATTTTTTTCCTGGGTCACCCGTGAAGAATCCCGATGAGCCTTTTGGAAAACCCATCGTTTGCAGTTACGTGGGAGAAGCGATTTACTGGGAAGCGACTATGTTAGGGGATGTGTTTTGCGCTGAGACGTGCGGGGACCACGAGGATGGAAGGTAGAAATGATGGATGTGTGTCTCTCTCCCTGTTTCCAGCCCTCTTTGAATCCTGGAGGGAGCCAGTCATCCGACGTCGTGCTTCTGAACCACTGGAAAGTGAGGAATTTTGAAGTCCAGCGTGGCGACATTGTGTCGTTGGTGTAAGTAGATCAGAAACATGCCCTACTCGTTCATAAATCATAATTGGATTTAACTGGTCGCCTGCTGCTCATATCAGATCGCCCGGTATTAAACGGATAGTTCCATTTAAAATGGAATGCGTTTTAAAAAAATCAGATTTGAAAAATAACGATGCTATGAAAAAGGGTTTTTCTTTCATATTTAAAATACGTCTGTTGATGGACCTGCTTGGGTTTGTTAACATGCGTTTACTGAAATGCTGATTGGAAGTTGTTGTAGCTGTGGTTTAGGGCACATGTATTTGGTGTTCGGATATTTTAAAGTTTGGCATCTTGGAAGCAACCCTTTATTTTCCTGTTTTATTCATTTGTGTAGATACAAAATTTTCTAGAATATGACCATGGTGGCGTGAAACTCGGCGGCATCCCTATGAGTCATTTAACTGGGCAAAGGAAGGTCTGCAGGCCGGCGCGCGGGAGGCTTTTGCTTGGGACCCAAAGGTGGCGCTGTTTCCCTGTAAAAGCGGGGGGCCTGGCCGGACGTCAGTTTTATCCCAGACTTAGGGAGACAAGGAATGGCGAAGTGTGCGAAATGGACACAATGATAGAGTCCCTAGTCCCAGAGCATGCTTGAATGGGTTAGATTTGAGGGTTTTTTTCCTGTTTGTTGTGTTAAAATTGAGTCCTCACTGAGAACACTGGCGGAACTGGCCTGATTTCCTCTGGTTTCAGTCACTTGTAAAAATGTTCTAATGTGATTCCCTATGATGCCAGTTGGGGCACTGGGATGGCAATTAACGGAGCAGTTCTTGTCATTTGTTGGGACAGCAGTCAAGTCCCGCCGCCTGGTGAAGCCGTCCGTGGCATATTTTTGCTTCTCACGTCGGAACGAGTGCTTCGTGGTGGGTGATGCTGGAATCGCTCGGTGAAAGCGAAAACTATTATCGACTTGTCCGTACTTACCTTTTGCCAGGGCTCTGTGGAAATGAGTATTTTATAAGTGTGCCCCTGTCGAGCCTGTTCGGCCAGGATTCATTTGAAAACATATTAACTGAATCCGGTTAGTGACTAATGAAATAAATACATTCGAGTGCAGCTCCGCGTGGCAGACGTCCAAGGGTAGGAATGAAACGCGCCTCGTGCTCCCCAGCGCTTTCTGTGATGCTAACCTCCCCTCGGGAGGATTCTTCCAGATCGTCACTCGGAGTACAGTTTGTGCGACCTCCTGGCGCCCGTCCCCACGCTGGGCCGGCCCGTCGCGAGCCCTTCATTCCGCCGCCTCTGGTTTGACAAGGTCACATCCTCGCTTAGTCGGTGATGGAGAGGATGCCCGCCCAAGTGAGAGAGGTCACGCTAGAAGCAGACAATTGTCATTGTTTTTTCCTTTAGAAACATGCTGACTATTTCTAAGCTAGCGGATCTGAACAGGTAATTGGAAATAAAATAAAGGCTCTTGAAATTCAGGGTTGCATGGCTCATGAAATTACCCCAGCCTATCCTATGCTACTTAGAAAAAGGAGAGTACGTTGTTCTTTTAGCTAAATATTAGAGTGAATGGTATTTATTATAGAAATTAATTTCAAAAACAGTATATTCCAGTTGAGGTTGATATACTATATTAGAGCTACGTTGGTTGAACTGTATTTTTTAATGAGTTAATTACGCCTTGTATCTGTCTTGAACAAATAACAAATTTTCGTTCATAAGGCTTGTTGCTAGCAGGAGCTACTTATGTGAAAATGCTTAGTGATTGGCATTCTGTTCTCTAACAACGAATAATTAAATGGTAAGTGTTGCTTTCCTCGAGAAATAAAAAGACTTATGCTATATTCTCTTTTAGCGTGATGTACTATAAAAGATACCGTTTAAAGTATCTTTTTAGTTTTATGAGCAAAAATGCTTTCTAGACATTTTTTTATACATTTTATAGACGGCTTCATTTGAAAAGATCGGTGTTGGTTTGATTAGTGTTCATAATATGCATTTAGTTCATGTCGAAAAACACTGAGTATCTGCTTTCCTTACAAAATGCATCAGTCTGGTTTTAGCTTAGATAGTAATGGTCATTAGAATATCCTATCTGTTTTAGAAATGTGTGACTAATCCAGAAGTGCATGGCTAAAATGTGAATTTATAGCTAAATGTAAAACGTATAAAATACAAATTGATGTTAAGAACACATTTCATTGATGTATAAGTACTCTTTGGAAACAAGCTATTACGACAATTTATATTTTAAATCTTCCTGGGACAGACAGGGTTTTATGTATTCGGCGTACGTGGAGATACAGCATTTCTACTACAATATCGTGTGTGCATTTCTTGAAAACGTTGCAGTTTGCAAATTCATACTCAGATTAGTGGGTTTTTTTGCAACCTTGTAACCGGAATACTGATGAGAAGACTAAGGATGTCATTTAAAATGCTGGCACTCTGAAAGACATGAAATTTCTAATTAGTAAACGCCACAGTGAATGTGGGATTTCACTTGGAACACAAAAGGTGAAGGTAGCTGGTATTAGGGAGGGTCGAGGCCACCTGTGTATACAGGCGCTGGGGACATTATCAGAAGTCGCAAGGTCCGCTTTGTACAAAGGATACTAATATGAGGGATGCAGCCCTGCTCTTTGCCTTGTGTTACTTTGTATATACATGTGTATATATATACACACACATATATAAATTTATACTCACATATAAATACACACACATATAAATATATCTATACACACACAACATATATATAACAAAGACCAGGATCAACCTTGCAAATAAGCACTTCTAAGGGAGGGTTGACTGTGTAATACAGATTCCTTCCTGGCAACTTGACTTCAGTTGCTATTATTAACGAAACAAAACATTAATGTTAAGGGAAAGAGAAATCACACGCGAACCAGGGCAGCTTCTGCTTTACAGTGAGACCCTTCCTGCACTTGCCAGTTGCCTGTGCATTTAGTCCATGTTGCAGAAACAAATGCTGCAGAGCAGACCGCCCCTGCCACAGGGGTTCTGCTCAGAGCTGTGGACCGGGGCTGCTTCCTAGAGCAGGGGTGTCGGGGAGGGCGAGGGGTGCCGTGCAGGTGGGAATACGCTTCCTTGCACCTCTCCCTTATCTTTTCCTGTCACTTTCTTCCCGCAAACAGCGGGTCTCGGCGGAGCTGCTGTTAAGCATGTCAGTCAGTAGTGCTAAAGCACAAGGCGTGTTTCCCTAATCACAGGACTGGCTGTGCTGAACATGACTGCTGTCACCAGTGCTCAGTATCACTAACTGTGTAGGTGACATCATGCTCCCTCAGTGGATTTGCAAGCTAATGGAGGTGATTAAGGTGGATTTTCTATACCTTGGAATTGACTGTTCATTACCCCGTGTTGAGGCCTTACTGCTACAGGCTTGGCCTGAGTAGCGCTGTTTTGCAACAATGTATCCATCCACACTCTATTGGGACACGCGTTCCTTCATAAGAGAGTTCCAAATAATCACATTGAAAAGTGCATGAACCTTTTGTTTTGAAGTAATATTAGACATAAAGAGAAGTTATAAAAATAGAGAATTCCCACATACCCTCCCTAATATTCTTGCAGCTTTATTGGGGAATATTGACAAATGAAATGGTAAGATATTTAATGTATACAATGTGATAATTGGATATACATATACCCTGTGGAAGGAGACCCCCCACTGAGTTAATTAACACAGTCATCACCTCACCTATGTACCTTTTTGGGGTGTGTGTGTGAGAACATTTAATTTTACTCTCAGCAAACTGCAACAATACCCGACAGTGTTATCGGCAGCAGTCACCCGTTATCCGTGCGATCCTCTGACCTCGCTCATCCCGTATCCGCTATTGTTACTATGATACACAGCAAGGACAATGACAGAAACCAGGACGCTCACATTAACACAGCACCGGTAACCTTCCCCACTGGAGTGTCCTTTTTCTAGGCCAGACCCTCGGTTGTTCTCTGTCTTTCTGGACGTGGGCACTTTTGAAAGGTCCTGGCCAGGGACTCTACAGAATGGTCCTCACCTGTTGAACGTTCCAGGTCAGTCCGCCTTCGAAGGGAGACGCGTCACGGTTAAGGGCGGGTCCTGAGGAAGCCCCGGCAGTGGTCCAGGGCGGGAGGGGAAGGAGACAGGGCCGGAGGGAGAAGAGAAAATCCTTAAGAGATGTATCACCTTAAGAGACTCCTTGCTCTACCCTTTCGTTGACCTTGAAGTGGTCAGGTGTCCTGGGTTACCCAGGTGGGCCCAATGCAAACAGGAGCCTTTAAAAGCGGGGGCGGCCGTCGGAGGTTCAGAGCAGGAGGCGTGGAGGGAGCCGAGCACTGTTGCTGGTTTGGCGACTGGGGGGCCATGGGCAGAGCAAACGGGCTGCCTCTAGACAGTAAGAAAGACTCTGCCGAAAGGCCAGCAGAGAAACGGGGGCCTCAGTCCTGCAACCGCACAGAGGTGAATTTCACCAACAACCTCAGGAGCCGGGAAGTGGATTCCCCCAGTGCCCAGAGGAGGCCCCAGACCAGCGACACCTTGATTTTGGCCTGCGAGACCCCAGCAGGGTACCCAGCCTTCCGTCCTGAGAACAGTGGAGAACCCTGGAGAATGGTGAGAGAATCCATGGGTGCTATTGAAACCCTTGGTGGTGTTTTCATTTGTTACAGTAGCAGGAGAAAATCGTTTTAGGTGATTAAAAAATGCAAATGGTTCTAACATTGTCTGAAAATATATAAGGAAGTGAACTTTTATGAAGAGTCTTATCAAACATTTGAAAAACACTGATTATATTTAACTTCTTGACTAATTAAAATTTTTCTTTTACATAAAACACACCTGTAACCCTCTCCCTTGCAGGACAAGGCTTTGGGAATCTAATTTCTTTCAGCTGCATCACTTACTGATTGAGCAACCTTGGACAGGTTCTCTTAATTACTCTTTGGATCTGTTTTGGCATTTGCAAAATAAGAGGTGCAGACTTGTAGATCTGAGGTCTCTCTTATTTAAAAAATTGCATAAAATACTT